TTGGGCAAGGACCGTGTGAGCAAAGGAAAGCACGAACGAGCACACCTTCCAGAGGCCCCTTCACCTCTGAAATTATGGTCCGACTTTGAACAAACTACATAGCCCTTCTTTAGCCTGAAGCTCCTCCTCTGTAAACAGAGATAACCGCACTTAGCAGACAGGGTTATAGGAAGTAAAGGACATGACCAAATTCACAACCTCAGAAAGTGTCTGTGGCGGGTCCTCAACAAACATGAGCTGCCTTTGTCGCCTGGACACATGACCAGTGGGGCAGACACATATACTGAACACTTCCATTGTGCCGAGCAGTATGGTAAGCATTTTACAGGCATTATAATATTATTTACAACTTAAAGCAACTCTAGGAAGAAGTGAATATCACCATTCCCACTTTACAGACGCACAAACAGGCTAAGGAAGGTTCCATACTAGACCAGGGTCACACAGTGAGCAAACGGGGAGAGAAACCTAAACCTGGGGTGTCAAAGGTCATGCTCCTCTCTCTCACTTCTACCTCACCTGTGAAATCCACACATCCAATACACAAATTTATAGGTGGCCAGTCATTAAATGAAATGTGTGCTGCCATTTGTTGATGCCACACAATTATCATAAACAACGAAAGAAAAGACAGCTCGATCATGTTCCTGCACAAAGAAGAGGAATTCCGCCTTGACTTCCGTAGCATGTGGAAACCCCCCCCAGGACCCCTAAATCCAAATGCGTGGGCTATCAGCTTCCATTTCCACACGGGGCTTCTTAAAGCAGGAGGTATCTGCAAGAGTCACATCTCAGCTCCTTCCAAAATTTCCACGTTAGCCAAAGTCATTCCCAGGAATAGATGCAACTCATCGACTCTATCATGGAACACACTTGATCAAGAACCAAGAGTGTGTTCAAAAAAACTACCGGCCCCCCTTGTCCACTGTTGTTATAAAATCCCACCAGAACTCATTATTCTGCTGTCTGCTCATCTGGCAAACAAACCCGGAGACGAGTCCACTAAAGCAGAGGGTCGTGACGGGGAAAACTGAAAAGGCCGCACAGCACCGTTGGCACCGCGCCTGCCACAGCAGCAGGGCCGGCTGGTCACCCCTCCACGCGTCTCTGCTGACCCCTAGTGTTGTCGGGAACACGGAGCAGACAGAGCAGAGGTGGTGCCAAACAGCAGCAAGCTCCCACACGGTTTAAGAGAAGACATTTCATTCTACAGAATCTGTGCATTTAAATGCCCACCTGTACAAACGGCTCTGCAGCAAGCCCAAATTTTCAACATTAGCTTGCAAAGGTAAGCGAGTCTAAAGACTCCGGGTCCTGCCAAGGTCCTCCCCACACATGCCACCCGCCAAGCAAACTGTCTGGGGTGAGCAGCTTCAGCCCTTCTAAGTGTCCGTTTTAAAACATAACCCACCGTCCAGTACGTCACTAAAGACGTCCCTCTCAGCCCTCCGATCTGATTATAACAACAGCTGCTGCGTGACTTTACAGGGCAGACACCAAGACAGTCCTGGACAGAGCGTCTAATCTAAACAGACCATCCATCACCGTATGAGCTTGCTAGTCTCTCATTTCACAGATGGGCATATCAAGAGTTAGAGAGACGAGTGATTTCGCTCGAGGCTGCACAGCTAGTGTGTGGCAAAGGTGGGGTTTGAGGCCAAGCACACCTGTCTCTGCTCCACTCAAATGTCACTCCCCAGCAAGAATTCCAGAGGGTCCTCTCTTGCCTACCTGAGGTCCACATTTCTTTACTTCTCCTGACCTACAACAGGGTATGAGCCCAGCCTGCCTTTTCAGCATCTCTTCCCCGCACTGTCCCTCAGGAACAAAATCGCTCAGGCCACTGAAGGGGGCACGCCGTGCTAGCACCCACTCACGCATCTGCACCTGGCCCCCCGCTCAAAGGCTCCTCAGCCCCTTTCGGTGGATCACTCTCACTCTCTGCAGAGAGAACCTCCTCTGGGGAGACTTCCTCACACCCTCAGCTCGGTACCTTTCGTGGGCCATATCCTGACCCATCCCCCTAGGACTGTAAGTGCCCAGGCCTGGCCATCAGACCAGCAGCCTCAGAGGCAGGGATCACACCCTGGTCATCCCTGGAAACCCACTGCCTGGCTCAGCGCTCACCACTCAGTAGGTTCACCCAGAGATCGTGTTCTTTATTCCCCAGCCCCACGGAGGACTGCTTTCCTCCCTTGGTCAGTTTCCCTGATAACCAACGCTTCCACGGTGAAGTAGCGGGGTTTGCGTCTCCCACCCATCTTTACATCCACGTAAACCAAGACAATGACCTTGCCTTAACACACTTTTCTGATGACACATTCGCACCCGAGATGCTGACGCACTCAATAGCTTTGAGTCTCTGTGGTGTTGTTTCCCTTACACTAAATGGCTGAAAACATTGCGGGATTTTTTCCTTCTTTGGTTTATTTGTTCATACTTGGTTTACAGGCTTTGTTCTGCTTTTGCTTCCCCCTCAGTGTTAGGCCGACAGGTGCCACTTTCTTCGCCCTTTAGCAGCCTCCCTCTCCGTGTCTAATCTAGGAAATGAGCTGCGATGAGGGGCCTGAGGGCAGTAAAAACACTTCACAGAAGAGGGAACTCAGGCACAGAGAGGCTAAAGAACTTGCCCGAGGGGGTGAAGCCAGATTCAAACCCCGGCCAGTGCGTTTCCAGAGTCCCCGTGCTTAACTATGGTGCTGAAATATTTCTCTTTTTATACATTATGTGTATAAATATGAAGTATCAAAATATGTACCAGAATACACACCAACTCTAAGACGCTCACTCTATTATTTTGTTTCTATTTAAGTTATTTTACTTCTATTTAAAAAGCTAAGAATCTCTGCAGTCAATACAGCAAAATGTTAATGTGTTCAATCTGAATGGCACAGGCATGAGTATCTTATTCACACTTTTTCATATATTTGAAATACAAAATGACTTAAAGTCTCTCTGCCCCCTCCTCCACCCACTACTCTCTCTGTCACTTGAGGCCCCAAAACCCACACATTGAACAGTCTTTTTATTCTATCCACAACCGAATTTATCATCTTTTCCTCCAAAACTCCCTCCGCAGCTTTGCCTTCTCAGCGCACAGCACGACCGTGGTTCACCTAATTGATCGAGCCAGAAACCTGGGCGTGATTCCATCTGACCCTCACACCCAGTCATTAATCCTTTCCTTTTTACTACCAAAACATGCGTTCCATCTGTTCACTTTTTTCCACTGACGGTCACCCCTCTCAAGTGGAAGCCGTCAATATCGCTCACCCGGACTCATCAAGCGTCTCCAAACCGGGCTCCCTACGTCCATCTCACCGGCCTAAAGACAAATGGGTCATGTCATTCCCGTGCTTTTAAGCCCTTTCTTGTAAACCCCACTGTTCTTAGAATAAACTCCAAACTCTCACCTGGCCGAGCAAGCCTCCTGCTCTGACTCAGGGCCTGTCACCACGCCCCACCCCTAGGCTGTCTCCAGCCCCATCTCTCACTTTGTTCATTCCTTCTCGGTGATATGTTTCAGACTTTCACCCTTGCTGAGCCACCTTCCTGGAATGCTGTTCCCACCTCCTCCTCTCTCAGCTATCTGCTATGCATCCTTCACATCCCAGCTCTAACCTCACTGCCTCAGAGACAATCCCTGACCCCCACACCCTACACCACCACCGAATTAGGGTAAACCCTTTTCCCACTTGCTCCCATGTCACCCTGAACCTCCCCCATTTTTTCATTTAGCCCACTGTTGAATGTCTATCTCTGCCACGAAATGGTCAGCTCAATGAGGGCAGAATCCGCCTTCTTCACCTCTCTTTCCCCCACTCCTAGCACAATGCCATGCTCAATAAAGATCTGTTGAATTACAGTAATCTATATTCTAATCCTAGTCTTGGGTCCCTAAGCAAACTGCTAAACTTTTTTTTTTTATTGAGTTATTGATAGGTTACAATCTTCTGAAATTTCAATTGTACATTAATGTTTGTCAGTCATGTTGCAGGTGCACCACTTCACCCTTTGTGCCCACCCCCCACCCCACCTTTCCCCTGGTATCCACTAAACTGTTCTTGGTCCATAGTTTTAAATTCCTCATATGAGTGGAGTCATACATAGATTATCTTTCTCTCGCTGGCTTATTTCACTTAACATAATTCTCTCAAGGTCCATCCATGTTATTGCAAATGGAATGATTTTGTTCTGTTTTGCAGCTGAGTACTATTCCATTGTATATATGTACCACATCTTCTTTATCCATTCGTCTGTTGATGGGCACTTAGGTTGCTTCCACGTCTTGGCTATTGTAAAGAGTGCTGCAATAAACATTGGGGTGCACAGGACTTTTGGGATTGCTGACTTCAGGCTCTTTGGATAAATACCCAGTAGTGGGATGGCTGGATCGTATGGTAGTTCTATTTTTAGTTTTTTGAGGAATCTCCATACTGTTTTCCATAGTGGCTGCACCAGTTTGCATTCCCACCAGCACAAACTGCTAAACTTTTTAGTCTTGGTTGCCCTATGCATAAAAACCCAAGCTAGACTGGCTAAATGTCTAAAATCTGTCCAGACTATCAACTTTTGGATTTTGCATTAGCAACCCACAACTAAATCTTCTAATGGTTTTGTTTAACTAAAAACACAGCCAGATTCAGATTTAAGTAGTATTTGTGGAATGCCGACTGTACGAAAAGAAACTATACGAAGTATTTTCACAGACTTTATGTTTTATAAACCTAACAATCTGGACAGGGTTACAAATGACAATCACATCACAAGTGACAAAAGTAAGGAGAGAGGCCTAAAGTTTGTTCAAGGTCACAAAGCTGGTAAGAGGCAAAGGTGTTTCTCCAATCAGAAAAAAAAAAATTGAAAGGATAGCAATTTTTTGAATTTTCAAAGTGAAATACCCCGGTTTAAAGAAGCAAAACAAATAACCACATTAATTAGGATATCAAGTTCTGAGTCCAGAGTTTGTACCGTGCCATGCTCTGAGGACACACACCCACCTGGCGAAGATTAATATAAACTGCATTCTGGAGAAATTCTGAAGCTTCCATGCTCCGCTTCTGAATGGCGAGGACACGTACGGCTTTGACACAGGCTTCCAACTCGATCACTCCAGCATTCTTATACTGTAGGGTATAAAGGAGGACCCTCAGTCAGAAAAGAAGAGTGCAGATGTTTCTGTCATAGCATGAGGCTGTACCACCGGGACTCAGTGACCTGCAGCTGTGCCTCCCCAAGCACCGGGGCCTGAGCGGGGAGAATCTCCTCGAGAAAGTCTGTCCCTTATCAGGGCAAAGGAGGGCGGTGAGACTGAGTGAACCTATGAATGCCCCATAAGTATGTCTGCATTCACTCAAATAATACAAACACAAGAGCTGGATATTTTACAACATGGCAAAATATCAGTGGATACTTTGCTATTCGTTTTCACTGATCGCCTCTTGTCCTCTAAAACATTTTTAGAATCTCTCACACCTGCAGCTCTAAAGCACTAGTTATAACTTCATTTTACTCTGTTGCAAAAATTCTAGCTCTCTGAGGGCAGATGTACCATATGGGGTAAAAACTAGACTACTGGTAGCGAACAAAGTCTATACGTAAACTGAAATATAATAATGCACACTTGAAATTTATACACTGTTACAAGCCAATATGACCTCAATATAATGATTTTTAAAATTCCAGCTCCCTGTATCACTGTATCTGTCCTCTCCTTCATGTTCAATGTCTGATTTTCTCTCGGTTAAGGTTCCTGCTTCTCAGATCCTGAGATGAAGGACAAACGAAGACATATGAAATAGAAAAGGCATTGTGAACCACATTTCACTACTCAATAACAATACTGGGTGAGGATTTCTCACACCTCACCTCCAGCTCTCAAGGTTCTCCCCAAGGTAACTTCGAGGCAGGGGAGCCGCCCTCAGCCACTCTCAACACTGTGTGGCTGGGACCCCGGAGCAGACAGAGGAGTGGGGCTCCAGTACCCAGGCCTCCCTCCCACCAATGTACCCCTCTCTCCCCAGGCTCCACTGTGAAAGCCTCCATGCTAGCTGTCCTTCTGCCTTTCTTCTTTTCTACTCCAAATCCTTTTTCTTTTTCTTTTTTCCTAATTGTCCCAAGCTGGCGTGATTTTCAATTGCTGTATCTTAAAGAGCTTCTTGCAGTTGAAGGAAAGGTTTACAGAGGTTAACTCCATGTATACTAGTGCCTAAAGAGAGCCCCAGGCTGGGGAGACCCCTCACTAATACTGTGACTGAGGCATTAAAAATAGTGTGCGATTCAACCCATTCCATCAGCAAGTGTTTACTGAGACCCCCAGAGAGGCCTGGCAGGCGTAACTGCTAGTGAAAATGCAGTCTAGACATTTGCCAATTATCAAGAAGCAATGATATAATTGCTCATGTTTCCTACTAAAATTATTTATAAGGTAGAAAAGGAAATTACTGTGCGAGAAAAGTCAAGCCTCCAATGTTTCCTCCTTTCTAATGTGTAATATGCACATAGTTTGTGATACATCACATACAAGTCATCAAAGACAATCACAAGAAGAAGCTGGGCTTACCTAACTACCAACACTGAAGTCAGAAATCTACCCACTTTATACACCATTTAACATGACGGAAAAAGACATGGGGACCTAATTCTATTGGAATGAAACGACTTCTTCAAAACTCAAAACAAATTCCACTGAAGTGAGAATAGAAGTCAATTCAGTTTTTTCACCTATTTTTGGTTACATTCACACATTTTAAATTACAACAGATTTACTGCAATCATAAAAAATTGTTCATATATTAGTAGGAAGATATACACAACCAACGAAGATTAGGAAAAGAGTGGACATTTACTAAAACTCCACTGCACACGTAGTCTCTTCCCGGCATTATCCTGGAACACAAGCTCTGTGAAGCAGGCTGAGCCCTGGTTTCCACTGCTGAGTCCCTAGTAATCATCTACCAAGGTCCCAGCATAGAGCATGCAATCAATATTTTAGGAATAGATGAGGCAATTATCTCACACAATTCTAAAACAAAAACCCTAAAATAAATTCTAACCTTATATACAGATAAAGAAAATGAGAACTAAAAAAGTAAAGTTTCTTGCCCAAGGTCACAAAGCTAGTAATTGATGAAGGCGGGATTTGAACTCAGGTCTGTCTGACTCCAAAACTAAGGTGGGAACACCACGGCATGAGGGCAGGTTCAGCACCAGGGACTGTCACCCTATCTTTGTTCAGACCTAGCCTTCTACAGCCTTAGACAGCACCCACACATATGGAACTCGAGGGCAACTATAACAATAAGGATTTTCCAGCCAATAATTTGTTAGGACTCATTTACAAAGTGTCAGCAGGTCAGCAGAAAAGCTCTGGGAAACATGAGTACGTCTAGAACTTCCTGCTGATTAGAAACCCAGTCTATCAGGACAGAATGACCTTCGCTGGAAAGGCCACATGGACATAAGCTAAAGGCAGGTGAGCACTGAGAACTCTGCCAAGGCACCAGAACTCAAGTGAGGAAAGTCCTCTGCCCTCCCTACCCAGCTATCTTTTTATCTGTGTGTACAAGAAGACAGAAGACCTAGGCTCTTGTCCAAATTATGCCACTGTGTGACTTTGATCAAATCACTTAACCTCTCTGGGCTTCAGTTTCTCACTTATAAAAATGTATAATGACATGCTCTCTTAAGGTTTCTTCCAACTCAAAATATGATAACATCATATCTCAATAGAATGTCTGTCTCCATTTCACCTCTTATAATAGAAGAGAATTTCCTTGCCACAAATCAGAAATCAATAAAAAATCGTGCACGAAGCCAGGCAAGAGTCTGCTTAAGAGACTTAGCTATGACTCTCAGTGAATGAAAACCAAAAGGTGCTACTTCTCCCTCAGAAAATGGGAAGTAGCCTGGGGGTGTGTGTGTGTGTGTGCCTGTGCACGCATGTGCACAAATTAAATACAATCACATCTGGGAAGTGTACAACTATTTTTTATATCACTGTCATTTCACGGCGATGGGCCAACCTTAAAAGCAATTTTAATCTAGTGTGCTGGGTAGCATGGGAGAGTCTCAGGCTCTTTTGGTGGAGAAGACGAAAGAGGAAAGGAGAGGAGAAAAGAGGTAAATGACGTAAAGGCATAAAAATACAGCCAGAGAAAGGCAAGACACTGATTTTCTTTTTCTACTTGCATCACATACATATTAGGAAACAGTTTTCCCCCAAGACGTCTTGTTGAATACTGAACTAAGAAGGGATGATAACCAATGTTTTATTATGCAATACTAATGAGCCTGTCACTGTTCCTGGCATTATATATATATATAAAGTATTTATCCTGATTAAAACTCTAGGCAGCAGGCCTTACTTTCCTCATTTGGAGAGACAAGAAAACTGGAGCTCAAAGTCATGTAACTTGACTAAAGACGGCCAGTAAACAACAGAGGAGGGATTCAAACTCAGCTGTGTCTGACTCCAGAGTCTGCTCTTTCCAGCCCCAAGACTGGAAAACAGGTACCAGCTTCCCTGCTGTGCCCACGGCAGACAGGCCTTTCCCACCATGATGAAATCTCAATTCTTGTTGACACAATGCACTCAGCAGTCACTAACCTTCCATCAGACTTGGCCGGTCAAGTGGCATCTGCCTGTCAGGCCCACAGGGCTTTACCGTAAAGGCAACAGGACGTGGTTTCTGTGCTCCTTCAGAGCCTTCCCTGGCCCACCCTGGGCTCTTCCTGCTTATCTAGTCCAGGGGCAGCCACTAAACAGCTAGGGGTACTGATAGGAGCCAGCACTGACGCCTCTCCCCCCTGTCTCCCCATCTCCAGAACTCAGCTAGGATTATTTTGATAATCTTGGAAGCAATTTTTTAAAAATAGGAAAGAAAGGGCTCTGGAAAAAATACTTAATACTTACAATTTTTAAATGGCCAGCTATAAGATGAATTTTAAAAAATCAATCTGCCTTTCTACATATCAGCTTTAAGCATTTAAAATAATGGCCAAAAAAAATCTCATTCACAAATTAACAAAAACATATCCAATAACTAGAAATAAACTGACAAACACTGTTCATGTTCTATATGAAGAAACTACAACACTGTTTTGAAGGACTTAAAATTAGATGTGTAAATGTAGAGACATTACCATATTCTATAGAGGAAAGCAATTTTGTAAAGATGTAAGTTCTCCCAAAAATAATTCAAAACATTGCAAGCCCCAAGAAAACTCCAATATGATTTTTTTTTAACTTGAACAATATATTTTAGAATTCTTCAGGAATAATAAAGTCATAGAACTAGCCACAAAAATTTGAGATGGTAGGAAAGAATGAAAAAAATAAAAGCCTCACTACTAGATATTAAATAAACTACAACACGAAAAATATCATGGTGCTGGGGCCAGCCCGGTGGCAAAACGGTTAAGTGTGCACATTCTGCTTCGGCGGCCCGGGGTTTGCCAGTTCGGATCCCAGGTGCGGACATGGCACTGCTTGGCAAGCCATGCTGTGGTAGGTGTCCCACATATAAAGTAGAGGAAGATGGGCATGGATGTTAGCTCAGGGCCAGTCTTCCTCAGCAAAAAGAGGAGAATTGGTGGCGGATGTTAGCACAGGGCTAATCTTCCTCAAAAAATAAATAAATAAAATCACGGTGCTGGAGTAAGAAAAAACAGATGAGCAGAAGGAACCAAAGGCTCTGAATCAGACTCTGGTATCTGCAAGCATTCAGTATAGCTGGGATTTCAAATCAGAGAGAATCAGTATGAATTAAATTGTGGGGGGCAATTAGATGATCACCCAGAAAAACATAAATTATATTCTCATGTCATAATGTACACAAGATAAATTACAGATAATGGTGTAAATATTAAAAAATAACTATGACAGCAAATACAATACTTTGCATACATTAACTCAGCTTATCCTCACTACTCCCCTTGAGATAGGTACTATTATCATCCCCATTTTAGAGATTAAAAAACTGAGGGAAAGAATTTATTCTATTGTAAGAAGGTATTTCTAAGCATACTATCAAAGGTAAAACCCTTAAAGAAAAGATTTACGATATTAAAAACATTTTTTTACCACAACCAAGAAGAAAAAGCTCATGAACAAAACTTAAGGAAC